GGACTCGTGTCACTAAAGTTTCGTCGGAACGAATTTACGGAAAATTAACTAACGAACGGAGGCGTAACACTACTCTTTCAAATTTATAACTTGGTTTCCTCATACTTCCCTACTATCTTGTAATTAACTGTTCCTTTCTTCCAGTTCTTCTAATTTTTTGCCTTGTTCCTCTAATTTTCTCTCTTTTCTTTTTGACTGTCTTTTAATCCTCTTTTAGTTAGTTTTTTTTTAGTCTTATTATCTTTAGAAGGTTTCCTGTCTCGGTTTATGCCCTTGTGGTAATTTTAAATGAAGATTAGAGTATATTCAAAAATTCAAATTTGGGTGGGCTCTTTTAAGTTATTTGGCGAAAGTCCAGTCCATGTAACCTTAACAAATTACTTATTTCTTCCTTAACATTTCTACAAGCTTGTCAATTGTTGTACTTGTAGGCCTAAGTTTACAGATGATGTTCAAATAGAAATATCTCACTAAATGTACTACGAATTACTTTAAAAAAGTTTACTTGCATAATCTCACGTTAATGGATGGCACAGCTGCAGATAGGTCATAATTAATATTGATCCAAATATTTTACTCAAAGAAAATAATTCACTCAATTATTGGCACTACCGACTGTAAACTAAACACTGGCTCACTGTTTGCTTCAATTGTCTGGACCACTTGTATTTGTATGTGATGTCTCGCTTATAGAAATTCATCAAAGTTATTCGATTTTTGTGATGTCATCTAGAATCTTCTAGACATTTTAGGCCTTTTTTAAGGCCAAGTGCTCTCTAACTGACATCTGAATTAAAACATTGACGTCCCCTGGTGGGACAGGGATGAGTTTCCAGACTTACAACGCTAAATTCAGGGTTCGATCCCCACCACAGTGCCCTAAAACAAATAAACATTGAAAACATAACCTACAACAATAATGTAATACAGCGTTTCCCAAACTTTTTTTGGCCACGGAACACTTTTCAGCTGAGAAAAAGCTTATGGAACACTATTCACGTGAAATATTGGTGTAGACTGTAGAGGGTATGTTGCGAGCGCAGGGCCCT